AGGCAGTGATACTGGTAGTGCTAGTAGCCGTCGTCGTCGTAGCAACAGCAGTAGCAGTAGTAGTAGTAGTAGTAGTAGTAGTAGTAGTAGTAGTAGTAGTTAGTAGCAGTTCTAGTGGTGCTCCCATCAGCGACAGGCACAACCACCTCGAATGGATCTTACCACAGCAGAACAAAATGCTATCTGTAGCAACATTCGCAACCTGACTGGTGACCAAGGAGCTGCGGATGAAGCTCGTCGGCAGAGTTCCTCGTAGGAGTACCCGAGAGCAGAACTGCACGATGTGCCTGGCGCAGCAGAGGGACCATTGTCTTGGTCCGCGCGGCGCCCCAGTCCTTCATGTTGTGACTCTCGTCAGCAATGACTATGCCGTGCGGCGTTCCGTCAGGGCGCTGTGTGAACTTCCCTCGGTTGGCATCGGAGGCCAGCAGGTTGTAGGAGATGATCCACATGTGGCATTCGGGGTTCAGGGGCTCCGAGCCTTTCCGAATCACTTGCACATCACAGGGGCGCAAGACTCCGTTTAGCCATTGCAGTGCCTGCTCTTGCCAAACCCATCGCAATGACGACGGGCAAACGACTAGAACGGGCCAGTTTTCTCTGTACTGGGCCGCTAGAGCCAGTGCTTGAAGGGTCTTTCCAAGGCCCATTTCATCCGCGATCAAGACACGCCCGGCCTTTTCTGTGCCGAAGTGTACACCCTCAAGTTGGTACGGAAGTAGCTTCGGTGGCAAACGGGCCTCCTGCACCTTATCGCCCGCAGCACGCCGAGCTTTTTGTAGCAAGTTCAGGACCCAACTCGGGATGTGTTCCACTTGGCCAAGCTCCTCCAAGCCTGTCACAACAGCCTTGTACTTGTGAAGGGGGAAGTGCCAGGAACGCCGGTCGACTCCGAGGGATGCGCCCTCCTGTCTTCCCACTGCTTGCCACACATGCGGTGGCACAAACACCGGATCCTTGCTGCCCAATCTTTCAGCACGCACAAGGAATTGATCTTCTTGGATGAGCTCGCAAACCAGTGTGATGTCGGATGCGAGCTGCCCTTTTTGTGGCGTAGCCACAGCCCGGGGAGCACTGGCAGTAGGGGGAGCGGATGGCGCTTTAGGCACTCTCTTTTGAAACCTTTGGAGATACTGTTGAAACTCCTTAAGCTGTCCATTCGGGTTTTCCATTGTCAGCGCCCAGTTGCAGTAGCTTGCATCCGTGTTCGCCACATCTTGAAAACTTCGGCCTCTGTGCTTCCCAAACGTGAATGTTTGCAGAGGCTTCGGTGGCACTGGCGTCTCGCCGTCGCCGTTCACTCTCAGAGCCATCGCAGCAAATCTTAGCTTGTTTAGCCGTGCGATTGTTTGCATGGCTTGTGTGTTCATTGTGTGCTTTTTTTGTTCACCTTCCACAATTGTAGGCTGGAATCGGCACGAGCTGCCCTGTCGTGTCTGTGCGCGCCTTGACGGCGACTGAAAGAGATCCATAGCCACCATAGCCAAAGAAGTGCAACAGAATGCGAGAGATCCACGTCAGAAACACAAAGCTCACCAAAGCAGGACACTTAGTGATCTGAGCAGTCTGAGCGCAGGTCTCGACAAGCCAATTCTTTCTCATGCCTGTGGTGCAAGCTTTCAGTCACGTTTAGCTCTGATTGGAAAGCTAACCGCAGTCCAATGCCTGGCATTTTGTTGCCGAAATCGAACGAATTCTGAGCTTTCAAGGTCCTGAGCTGAGCGTCCACGGCCATCGTCCGCCAAGCGATGCGACAGGCCTTGCAAACGTCGACTAAATCATCCAGCAGGATGCCAACCGTCCCACTGCGGCCTGCAGGGATTCCAGGTAATGCTTCACTCCCCTGAGCCCCACTGATCCCAAAATGAACCTCCCAAAAAGGTGCCTCCATGGATCTCTACCATCAGATTCCTGCCAACGGGCCCGAGACTGGCGTGTACGTCTCACTCTCAGAATCTTGACCATGTTCTTGATCCTGTACAGTTCAACTGATTAGCCGCTGTCGTTGTCGAAGGGCTTCTTAGTGCTGACTGTTGTTTTCGTGCACTTTACATCCGGAACATGATGAGATGCTTTCTACATCCTGCGAGAAGCAGCGAAGCAAGGCCAGGTGCGGGCAAAACGTCCTGCAGTCGACCAGTAAGCGGCGAGGATAAGGCTTCCCATTTGTAGCAACCTCGCAGCCAGCCGAGTCTTGGGGCTTCGAGTGGCTACGCATGGCTTGAAGGCACAAATAGGCGCAATCACAGGTTATCCCACAGGGCCGCAGGCCTTTGTGCAAGCTAAGCCTTCCTTTGAAAGCAGGCTGGACCAGCGGCGGAACCATGCATCATCTGGTCTTGATGCGTCCTGTGACCCATCCAACACTCACACTTGCGGTCTGCCTACGGGATCTGTGATGACTGCTCTTTCTTTCTTTCCTCAGGGCTGTGGTGCAGGGGTTTCCCCCTACACCGCGCGCAGGTGCGCCCCCCTCTCTGTCTCTCTCCCGGGCATAGGGGCCTGTCAAAGCCCTCGGGCACCATGCCCACCCGACGTTTTATCGGGTAAAGGGGAGTGAGTAACGAGTGTAGATTATCAAGGGCTAAAGCTATACATTCTACGATAATGAAGACTTGACAATCCCTCTCGCTCTCTCTCCCTCTCTCTCTTTTTCAGGCCTGATGAAGTTGGTGAAGCATGCTTTGTCTCCCACCTGAGAGATCCGAGTTCGGCAAATGAATCAAAGTGAAGCCCTGCTGCAGTCTGCGATGTCCAAGACTCCAAGAGCCACGCCTCCTTCTTTGCACTCAGCTCTGCTGTGCCGGAACTGGCTTCAAGCAGCACGCTGACAATGCAAGATCATCGAATGTGAAGGCGCCGCCGCCAAAATGACACCAGTAGACTGGGAATGAGCCGGGCCACGACACGGTGAAAAAGCGACCTCGGCAGCAAACTTTCTTCCGAGCCGAATGAAATTTCAAAGGACAGAAAAGCAGTGCCCCGCGGCCGCAGGCTTTTGCTCGCATGCACTTCGTCGCAGTCCCTCTCGCTGCAAAGGTCGTCCACACTGATGTCCCTGAGAACACGACAGTGTCGGGGCAACGCAGCTGTTGCTGTCGACCTGACCTGCTTGCGTACTCCTCCCCTAGAGCAGCAGATAGCAGCACGATATTCCAACCAGCTCAATGCACGGACATCAAGCTCGCTGGCCGTGCAATCCTGCAGGCATAGCCTGGGTCGTCCTGTGAGCAGGAGATTGCCATTGCGGCGCTGGGCGAGCAAACCCGCAGCGAGCAGCCTTCTCGAAAGCACTTTGGCACTGCAGCTTTCGCTGTTCACATCCTCTCCTCCCCAGACTGGCCAGAGGAAGTGTCCCGCACCTGCTGCTCGCTGAGGTAAGAGTTCCCTAGGTCTGTTGACAGTGGCTCCTGTGCGCATACGGTGCTTTGCAGGCTTTGCACCTTTGGCCAGGCTGAGAATGTGGGGGGTCACTGAGTCCAAGATTCGCAATGACGATACCACGTGGCATGCTGATGTCTCTCTACGAAGACGTAGCGACGGAACAAAATGTCACCGAGCTCGCACGATTGCAGTCGATACAACCGCCTTACGCAGGGCATCAGCAGACCAGTAGGCTGTCGATGAAGCATCCGAGGTGTTGGTGCGATGTCTGGTCATGCCACTTGCCACTTCGAAAGGGATACTTCTCAAAAGCTGGCCGCAAATCAACAGTGTCTGAATCAGTTCTGAACTTACCGGACAGCTGACCCTGCCCATGATCGAGGACGGCTTTTATATGCCTCGAGGGTGCAGGTTGACAAGACTTTGGGAGGCAGTGCCGTGGATATTTAGGCCAGGCCTTTGTGAAAGGGGCACCTCGCAGAAGGTATTTGTCCCCCGTGAGCGTTTTGGATTGCACGGCCGTGCTCAGCAAAGCCGCAACCCCTGTTTTGGCATGCAGCCATCTGCACGCTGAGCGGGCCCGGCCGAGAAGTGACGCATCCTGGCCTTCCCTCCTGAAAGGCCGGGGGCCTTCTGGGGCTCCAGGGTTTCTGCGGCCTCAAAAGCAGCCCGAGGCGCCGCCAGCGCTTCCGCGCGATGGGAGTGAGATCGGGTCTTCTGCGCATGTGAAACGGCTGCGGAAGGTTCCTGGATGGATCAACGAGTGATCCTTTCCACTTGAGTCGAAGCACCAGACCAGTTGCTTTCACCACAACTGCTGAAAAAGAGGGACACCAACAGCATGTGAAATAATGGTGATTCTCAACAGAAGGTCTCAGCAAATCCACCGCTCTCTCTGTGGAGTGCTGAGGGCCACTCAGCCTGGATGGCTTGACGACCGTGCGCTCGTCCTGGCCGCCCAGACCCTCAGCCTGAATAGCGGAAGAGCGCGATACGAGCTATGCCCAGCCTCTTCTGCGCGAGCTTCCCGGGCTAGCTGGTGTGCGCTCGCTGGGATGTCCTATCGCTACAGATTCCTCGGAATCCTTCAACTTCGGTTCATGTCCACCGTATGCCGGCATGCACCTCCTCGCTGAAGCGGGACTGCCGCGAAGTGTTTCTCATCAATCTTGCAGGTTCTCGTGTGTCGCAATCTGATACCATCCGTGCAAAGCCTGTTAAGGGGGTGGCGACGACCGGTGTGCCAGGAGAACCTCCATGTCACTCTGCTGCCTGTGCCGGGCGCCATCTGTGCGTGACCGCTGTTTAAGCGCGTGGCCTCTAAGAGCTGGCCTCTCTTTGTCCTCGCTGAAAGGAGCATCGTCGGAGTCCTTCAGGCTTTGCTCCACCGTGTCTTAGGACCTAGGACTGTCCCTGGCAGGTTGCTGTCCTCGCCGGACTCTGAACAGTCGCTGCCTTCCTAGCGGTAGGAAGAGTTATGGAAACCTCTTGGCCTCTTGGTCCTTTTCCGGTTCAGCTCCGCACTGGATTCCGACATTTCGCATCTGGCAGTCCCCTCGGAGGAGGCCTCTTGCTCGTTTGCAGACAGCATGGAAAACTTCACGATGGCCAAGGTTCACACGGTCTCAGAGGCTTGACAACCACTTCGGGCAAGCCCACCTTAGCAGTCGCAAGCGTGACGGGCAAGTCGGCCTCTCTGCCATCAAACAAGTCGTGCCGCCTTGGCGCTCGAAGGTTGTTTCGGAATTCCGAGCGACGCACGGACGACTTTCTGGTCGACCGGGTGTCGGAGCGGACGTGTCAGCAAGAAAATTGGTGCAGGGTCCTGAGGTGGGCTGTGCGGTGACCCCTCTTTTGGAGGCACCTTCATGCACTCGCCCGCACTATGCATTGGCGGCCTGCCAATGCCGACTCAATCTTTAGCACCGCTAAGCGGCGTAGCTGGTAGATAGGAGCAGTCAGTGCGTTGACTGTCTCAGGAGTTGCTCGAGGTTTTCCTCCCACTCGGGCAGGTCATTCTCTGAGCCGCTAGGTTCCCTCCATATGGGCTCTTGAGCCTGGCATTCCGTCCGCACAGGCACAGGGTTGTAGGAGAAGAGCACCTGCATAAGGTACAGCGCAATCACAATCACTGTACCGCTTGGTTAGACACTGTTAGACATGTGCAAAGGGCTGCGTCAGCTGGTTCACACTACAAAAATCAAGTAAAAACAAAATGCGCTCTAGCTAAGAAATGCAGAGTCTCCAAGGTGGTGGTGTCATTTCACATTTGGCCGGGTAGTTCCGAGCCTCTGAAGCCCCCGAGGCAAGAAGTAAAGGCGGGGCTACTTTTCTCATGTGGGGAGGTGTCCAGGCGTCGGCCAAAGGCCTGCTTGGGGCCACAGGTTCAGCATGTTCAGCGCCAGCCGGAAAATCACCGAAATGAGAAACGTGGACACGGGCCCTACGTTTCTCATTTTGGTGGTTTACTTGTCAACAAACCGGCCAAAATGAGAAATGCAGGTTGTTACGTTCCTCACCTTGGGGGTTCCAGGCCCCCCCAACACCAACCAAAATGAGAAATGTAGGGGGCCGCGTTTCATATTCCGGTGGGTTTCCACGTTCGGCCGAGGGCCTAAAGCCCAGGGCCAAAGATTCAGGGAAAGCCTAAAATGCATGGGCTTGTATCAGTTCAAGGGCTACTTGTTGGGTAATTATCGGGGAAAGTGGAACTAAACAAGGGTAGCCTGCGCTGGGAACTCATCCAGCACTGTTGGTAGCGTACTGTAAGTGGCACAAGGCCAGAGCCAACGTCCTACACAAGAACCGGCAACTGCTGGCACGGCAGAACTCATGCAAATTGCGTCCCAGTCGCCGCGCCAAGAACTGTGATGCCCTTGGTCAGGCTGCTTGTAATCTACGCTTGAGTTTTCATCCCTGCAACACCCTTCTCCCCCTGGCAGGCCCTAGCAGCCAAACACACATGACTTGAATTGCTGATGGCAAGACTGCTCTTTCCGCCCGATGAGTTCGCACTCGGAGGCTATGCTCGTATGTCTCTTTTCCATCTCTGGCCAATGTTGATGTTCATATGAGTGTTTACGAGCGGTACAGGTTGGCATGTGTGGAATGGCTAAAGATTGCACCAGTGGAAAAGCTCGGCCCGGCTGTTCGATCTTTTTAACGCCTGACTGGCCCCTTTGAAATCTTCTGGGCGCCCGGCAACACTGACAAAGCGTGCCACCGACACCGGTCGCGGGGGCGAGAAGAGGCCGAAGGTGTCTGCCAGGGATGCGGTTGTCAGCTTGCCTTCCAGGTGCTCCGGTACAGAGGCTTAACTTAAATAAACGCTAATGTGCTTTTCCCAATGCCTCGCCCCGGCCCCACCCCATGCCTGCTAAGACAAGGACGAAAAGCACCGAGTATCCAATGAGTTTCGGCAATTCCGCTAGTGAGTACGTGTAGAAGGCAGACTGTAGGCCACAGAGCAGCCAGATCCACCACTTTGACTCTTGGAAGTTCAGTGGGATTCCCCGCGTCTGCAAAGTGATGCATAAGGGGATTGCCCACAGCATCGAAGTCAAGTTGCAAAACAAAGCACTGCGAGCTGAGGAGCCAAGATCCCTGGCTAGCCGTTTGTTCATCTTCGCCTGCACGCTGTAGCAAACACCAGCGATCAAAGTGCAGGCTGAATAGAACGCAATCTCCGAGGCGGAGCCCGTCACTTGGCTAATCGAGTCTGCCATTTCGATGCCCACGGCGGCTGCAAGGAAGCATAAACCCATGGAGTTGTAGCGGGTCATGCGCAACCGTTTTCCGCGGCAATCGAAAATGATAGCACAAGTCATCATTCCAACCAGTACCAACATCAGAATCATCTGCGTACCCAGGAAAGCTGCGGCAGGTGTGCACACCTCGGCTGAAAGAGCCAGCAATGACTTAGTGACAGAAAACTTCTGCCAAGGCAGAGCGATGTAAGGGTTCCAAGCCAGTCAAGGATCGACAAAAGACGGCTTAATCTCACCTCCCATTTATCTCTCAGCTTGGCTTACTTGCAAACCAGGGAATCCGAAATTTGTCACGGAATTGAAACCCAAATTGGCCACTCAGTTTGCCCAAGGCGGTGCCGCGATTCGACCAAGCCACAAAGACAGGGATGATCGCGAATCCGCCCAAGACTGACCACTTCCTCGTCGGAGCATTCGGGGCTGGTCCTCCTGAGTCGAGCAGCAAAACAGAGCCTTTCAATCTTGCAGCAAAGCGCTTTCGGAAGGCGAACCTTGTAGTCGCACAAGCGCCAGGAGCCAAACTGCGCCGATCCCGAGGTTGATGGAAAAAACGTAGGAAGCATGGGCGAATGCAGGAGAGGGCGTGTCATTAAGGATGATGCCCTCAGCAGTACTCACTTCGTGGTTGATATTGATGCCAGCAAGCAACCTCTGTGCGTGCCGTCCGTCTGAATTACACGGGAGACTGCTGAGAGCAGTGAAACAGGTATGGAGACACCGCAAAACCACTAGATGCTGGCAGGATTCGGGAGCACAGCCACTAGATTTCCTCCAAGTACTACCAAGTACTGGCGGCATGCAGGACCATGCCCAAATTGCTTCCCCCAAGTACTGTCGGATTCAGACGCATGGCCCAAATGCTTTCGCCTAAGCACCGGCGGTCTTCAGGAGGATTCGGGAGCGGGCAAAATGCTGCCCCCCCGGCGATTCGGGGAGCAGGCGGCGCTAATGCTTCTCCTCATATAATTGCACTGGCGGGATGCAGAAGCCAATTGACTCGTTCAACTTTTCGATTGCCCAAAAGTGGCCCATGTATTGGAACTTACTATGAATCTGGCTCTGACAACGCTGCCACAAGGATCGTGTACTACACAAGATAGATAGGAGAGGAGCGCAAGATATGCACCGCACCACAGCAGGAGCCGCATCCCGGGGAAAGTTTTGTTCGGTGCGTCGTGCGAGAACAGTAACAAATTCTCTTTGCTCTGAATGTAAGACCCCCATAGTGCCATAGCGCTGTTTGGGGAAAACCATAACCAGGCTTAGGTGTGCAAACCGATCTCGCAAGCATCCAAGCGGCTGCAACATGCTGTAATCATAAATGTGCCCGGAACGCAAAGGTCTGAGATTGTGAAACTCAAACGCTAGGCTCCTGACGCCTCCAACCTGGAATGCCACTGACACGCCAGCTGCTATGGCCCACAGATACGCCAAAATGGTGGGCATCGCATCGAAAAGCAGATCCTCGTCCATTCATCATTGTGCGCGGAGCCCGCTCTTCTAAGTAAGCCAGCTCCAAGCTCAAAGGAGACTGTCGAGAATGATGTCCGCTGTGTGGTATTTCGACTTAACTGCTCAGTTTCTCGATGGAACACTTGAACAACTGCGACCATTATCTCCATGGGTTCTTCCCTGCTCTCTTGAGCTCGCTTGACAATCAAGCGTTGGTCGAGATGACAGCTCTAGTCTGCTTGCCCGCGCTCGGGTGGCATGCCGTGCAGTTGCTGATGGCATGCCTCAGGCTGCTGCAGGAGGCGGTGGTGCCGCAAAGCAAGACTCTGCCTGAGCCCTGGGGGCACACCTGGCACGGAGGTTTGAACACAAGAAGCGACTGCTTTCCCGAAGACAAGGGATAAGCGGGGCAGCCATACGGAAGTCCGATGGGAGGCGGCGGAGCCAATACCAAGCTGAGATTGTGTGATAACGATAAACATGTATTGGCTTGCCCCAACTTCTACTACCATCGTTCGCAGCTCTAAAACATCGCTCCTTCCGGATGTTCTTCTGATCTCGGAGGCCCCCTGCACTGCGAGGACAAAGGACATGGCATGATATGGCATGGTAGATGCAGGGCCTCGAAGTCGTCGAGGCTTCTGAGCTTCCTCGGCTCCACATCACTTTGGTCCCAATCTGCAGTCACTGCTGTAAGATTCTTAGCAGTCTTAGCATCCGAGGCACAGCATCTCGAGCGCATTGCCTCGCCCGAAGTCCGTGGGGACTTCGGCACCAGGCCTTCTTTTCAGGCAGGGCCAGGCAGGGGCCAGGGGCCTCGGCACCTTGCTGGCGGAGCTGAGACGCACACAAGGACGTCGGCGGAGGCGGTGCCAGCACCAAGCTGAAGTCACCTGAAAGAAGCTTGATTCATCCTGCTCCTCTCAGTCCTCTCCTCCCACTCCGCTACGCCGCGGAAGCTGTTGCCTTCTGGCTTCAGCTGGTTCACAGCAGGGAGATCTTGTGGAGGTGGTGGCCTGCATCGCTGAACCCCAAGACACTGCCACATGTTGCGAATTCAATATGTGCATACATGCATGCATGCATAATGCCTACGCGCCTACCAGTACATGGATGCCGCCTTAGGGGTGATTTCAGCGGCGTGCACACCTTGCACATTCTTGAACAGGCCTGAAGGGCATGGCGCATTGCCGCAGGCTCCTAGCTTCAGCAGCTCAGCCGCCGGCCCCGAGCGCGGCTGCGGGAGGAGTGTGTGCAGGTGCTCAAGAGTGCAAACATGACCGTCTCATCGTCATCCATCGTAACCTCTGCAACGCGGCTCCTTCATTTTGTCTCCGGCCGTCTTGAACGTGCGCCAGCGGAGGTTTGACTTTTCAGAGGACTCTGTACCGCAAGCGTATGTGAACCTAGATGAATCTGGGAGTCAGAAGCCCTCTGAAGCCTTTGCAAAGTAGAGACCGAGCTACATTCTTTGCATTGGACTCGGCATGACCACGCAGAGCTATGTACATCCCATCTCATAAGAGCTGCTGCATCCGGGTGCTTCAGAGTTCCTGCGAAGTGCGCAGGTTGCAGCCCTTGGTGACGGATCTCTCTTGCCTTGAAAGGAACTTTGGCGAAGGTTTCCCGGAAGGCCATCCCGTTGGCATCCCTGATGAACGGCTCCGTGACGAGTCACAATAAGCAGGCGTAAACAAGCCAAGCCGGCGCAGGAATGGCAAAATGAATCTCCTTGTACAGATTCCTGGCAGCGGCATGTGGGCCGCGATGTGTGGTGCATTGCGCTACGCCCCAACCTATATGGCAGTAAACGAGTCTGCACCACCCAAGCCCCTCGTTCACGACGGCCCGGGCAAACAGATCACTGACATGCTGCGGATTGCATCCGAATGCGCCACCTCCGCAAAGAAACACGCGAACAGTTCACGCCTCCGAGCTGAGGCCCGGACAACCCCACGCTCCGAGGATCAGGGTATCAAGCTCGGGCCTGGCAAGAAGCGATTGACCATATGGGAGTTCCCGAAAATAAGGGGTACCTTATTTTGGGGTCCTTATAATTAAGGATCCTACTATTTTGGGTGCTATATTAGTGTCCCCTATTTTCGGAAACCCCCATATCATGAGTGCTACAGTAAACTCTGTCACAGAGAGGCCTTGCCATCCTCGGAACGAGGAAGATTGCACGGACGGTATTGGCCATGAGGTCCAAGTCATACACCTCTTTGGCAAAATTGATATTCGGTGCCTCAGCCGTGCAGCGGACAAGTGCTGAAGAGTTCCAATATGTCCCAGTGCTGTAAGTTGTAATTCCTATGAGGTTGGATTGCTTGAACTTTGCTCGTGTCTCAAGGTGTCCAACAAGCCGCAGTCTGAGCTGCTGCTCGCTTCGAAGCTACGCCCACCGCCAACCGCCATCCCAAGAGTATTGCTCAGTCCGCGGCAGCTGCAGTCACCAAAGACACGCGTACCTTCCACTCCAGCCCGACACAACTCAATCTACTTTAGATGCTGCGGCAGCAGCGCCTGCTTCTCTCGCGGCAGGACTTCAAATCGACGCTCTTCGGACTCCCGCGCTACAACCTGACATTCTCTGATGTGTTCCGTTCCGGTGGGCATATCCAAGGCCAGAGTCCAGGAATCCGGCCAAGTCTGAAGTGAAAAGGACGTCCGAGTACCTCTCTGGCCGATCCTCGGGATCTGAGGCGGCAACCAGCTCCGCATTTTTCGCCGCAGTGTTTCAGCGAGATTCGTCTGCAGAAACGACGTCTTACTCTTAACAGTCATGCAGAGTAATATGACGTCTGCCAGGCGTCCTTTGATCGGCATGTTGGAGGTCCGAAAGGATACAAGCCATCCTCAGACCGCCCGAGCGCGTAGGGCAGAAGAAGCCATCTAGATTTGCGATACCGTGCGAGCAAGGCAGGTATGCAACACAGGAAAGTACGGTGGACCGAGGGAAACACCCGCTTGGCATTCAGTAGGGAAGTGTACAGATTGGGGAGGCGTCGGCAAAGATCCTCCTCCTGCAGTGGTGTCACTCCAAGAGTCAGAGACGGCGAGGGTACACGAGGCGAGCAATGCTTATGCACTATGTCTATTTGCGTCTTCTCCTTGTACCACTTGCTTGAAATTCAATTTAAGGTGGCATTATGTAGCATGTCGAACTGTGTTGGACAAGCTACCAAAGATTTCGGGGCGTAGAGAGTCAACCACCTCTGTGGAAAAACTCCGCCGCCTCTCTCTCTCTCTCTCTCTCTCTCTCTCCCTCTGCACACATATATGTATATATATACATATATATATATATTTCACGTTCACTTTCAGAGGAGCGAAATCCATGTCGGATGTAGCCTGTAGGCATCTAATTAAAGGGTGAAGCGGGTCTGTGCGTGGTCCGTAAATGGAAAATTCGCGAGAGTAAGAAGCCTAACTTCTCTCCCTTGAAATCTTGGCAAGGCACCTAGCAGCACTGAGACCTGGACAGGAGGAATCAGGCGTGATCAAGACGGCAGGAACGACACAAGCCAAGAGATAAACTGCACCTCTAACAAGGTCGGCAAGAAGCCTCAACACGCCAAGCGGGCCCGTAAGGCACTTGAAAGTGCCTATTGTCTCTGGGACAGCAAGGGATATCGGAAGGCCATCCAAGCAAAATCAAATCACGGACGAACCCCCGCTGGCAGTCCACTTATGGAATTCCAGCAATGAGGGCCGCTCGATGCACTCTGAATGCGGCAGGTGGCAAACTGATCCACCTTTGAAATAATCCCTATTGATTTCAATTATTTCAATTATTTCTAATCTATCTAGCTACAGAGAAACAAACAGGGCGTCAAATAGACCCTAGAGGAATCTCTCTCTATCTCTCTCTCTGTCTCATATATATATATATATGATTATTTAGATCTTTGCTTGCTTGCTAAGCGTTTGGAGGAACTGAGATACTGGCCCTCACCCCCCCTGCGCTCTATCTCTCGCTCTCGCTCTTCTTCCACGGGGCGTGGGGGATGTTCGAAATCCCCCGGCCACTTGGGCCCTGGGCTTTGACGAGATGTGAAAAGCTGTTCCCGGGTGGCATAGATTCTTTTCTTCTTTCGCCAGGGCTACTGTATCTCTCAAACTAACTCTCTCTCTCTCTCTCTCTCCCTCTCTCCCCACCATGTAATGTAGAAGCTGCTCTTGTTGGTTCGGCCTGTGCCAGCGCTCCAGTCTTGTAGCCTCCGCCCACCTCCCAGCATCTCCCAGCTGCCTCTCTGCCAAAGTGAATCACAGCTGTTTCCGGCCTGCTCCCCGTTTGCAAAGTTCAAAGCACAAACGTCTCGATGAGACCCAAAGTACAGCAGGGCCTCAAGTCGTGAACGGGGAGCGCAACATTGGTCATGAGATGCCCGACAGTAGCTCGCTACAGTAGGGCTTTTCCGACACTCGAAACCCCAGGCAACACTTGATCGGCACGTAGACAACAGGGGTTCCAAAGGAAACAACACTCTTCATAGAGCGCAGGAAACACTGCTTTCCGTTGGACTAGGGTCTTTCTACATCATTGCAAATCTCCAAGGCAGGGGCATCTGCCGTGGACCACTTCGAGAAAGTTACCTGGAAGCGACATGAATGAACACACTCTTCGAGCCGTAGAATGGCATGTTAGCAAGCACAGTTTGCAACCCTTATGACTTGCTCTAGTCCAAGGCAACCATCGGACAAATCGATGCTCTGCGCATTCTCGCAAAAAAGTGTGTGTGTGCGCGCGTGGGGAGGGTTGTTGATGATTGCTCGCATCCTAAGGAGTGCACGACCACAGCCACGAGCCGTATGGCTGCCCTTTGTCTGCCAATCTTCGTCCGGCATGTGCCCCGGCTCCGAATACTCGCAATTCATTCATGTAGCTGCTGTGGCTCTTCTCGTGTTCGCTGAACTCCACTCACAAGCTCTCCTACACGAGGCACTGGGCTACCCGCATTCGGTGTCTTCACCACAGGTATCACCTTCAGAAGTGCGAGCCAATCCCATTTCCGATGCTGTCCTGCTTCCGGCTGTGCCTGAGCCTTCATGACCTCTCTGAACGCGAAGTAGCGCGTGGTCGGTACAGCCCACGTGTTTCGCATCTTGTAGTTCAGCTCGGAGATCTGCAAGCGATCGGGACGAGCCGCTCAGTCCTGCCTCCACCCTGTAGTCGTGCCTCCACCCTCAGCTTCCTGTCAAGGCATTTAATTTCTAAACGTCGAGCGACTCGAGTGTTCTTGGAGCAAAGACAGAATTGAAGCTAAGTGTGCTGTATGTGACCAGAAGCCCACCTGTTTGGATCATTTCGCCTGCCGCCGCCCTTGCCATCCGCCCGAGCATCGAGCAGGACACCTTCAACCGGACCTGCACTTGCGCGAAGCTGTCTGCGTAGCTCTCAGAACCAAGCTCCCGGTGCCCGCAGCCTCCATAGGCCGTGGCTGCCTGGGCTCACCGTCCCCTCTCCTCTCTGAGCGATGCCCCTAAGCTGCTTTGGGCTCCAACAGCGATGGGAGCCGTCGGAGCCGTCGGAGCGACTGAAGGAGCATGAGCTGCATGCAGTACAGATGGCAGTAGTTCTAAATGGAATGTCGGTACTAGTGACACAGACGATCGCAGCTTGAGTCTGAGGGAGTCCTGCTTCGGAGTGATGGCCAGCCTTGCAAGCAGTTTCAGCAAGGTTCAAGGCACAAGTCCGACGAGTCCCCAAGGCCAGGGCAGGCCGAGGTGCCGTCGCCACCTTCACTTCTGCCTCAAAACAGTTAGCAGAACCCTTGCCCA